AAATTAGAGAATAACTGATAATTTTGACTAACGGTGCTCTCACTTGGAGTAATTGAATCGTCTCTATCTATTTCGATAGTAACTCTAATATACAGTTATATTATTTCTTACATAATTCTTTTATTGGTTTATTAATAGATATGCAGTTTAACCATTTTATATTATACAACAAATATCAAAACAAATTAAAAAGTTTTCATTTTTTCTATTTATATTTAATAAATGTTGGCTTAAAATTGAATGAAAATACAATGTATTGATAAAATGAGATGATAGAGGATTGGTATCCCCTTCTCAGTCAGATCCTACTATTAATCTGTAAAGGGAATAGACAGTAGGCTTTCCCGTAGATAAGGGAATGTGTGTCCGAATGTATGGTTCGATATAACTAAACGAATTGCGAGTCTCTATCCATTGCTGTGAAATACTGTCAACATTTATAGCAAATTAACTCAAATTCAATTATGAGATCGTTTCACAAATGCCTGATATTTAGATAGAGATTCACATCTAAATAAAATGTTATCAATTCTGCAAACTTTCCGATAGACTCCTAATATTCTTGTCGTTTCTCTCAAACGGCACTAAATTCTTATTTTTGTGTTTCAGTCAGTAATCTAATCAGACTTTAACTGACAAACTGATCAAAGCGATCAAACTTTGGCACAAATAGTCGTCTCTGAGCCTCAAAATTATAAAACCATGACTTGACTGAGCGCTCAAATTAACTATAAATTTGAAAACATAACAACCCATCAGTTTTGCTATAAATTATTACAATCAACAAAACAATTGACTCAATCGAGGGTTCAATTTATGAAACAATTTATAACATTTATTCTCATATACAGTAAAAAAAGCGAAACTTTAAAATGTTTTGCAAAAGCATTAGCAGTGGAGACGGTTCTCGTATGCCATCTCTTTGGATGAGTTATCTGTTTATCATTTGATGTAATACTAGAAGAAAGGCTTCTCTAAAATCAGATAAAAGTCACCCAAAGATACGCTCAAAGACCGAATATATGACTACTTTTAGCCATAAATGATATAATTTTGTCGCAAACCATAGTTATCATGATTTCATGCATTGATGACTCGTATATGAGTCGTAATTCTGAGCCGATGTCTATGTCTTCGCATTATATCGTCATTGAATTGAGTGAACACTTCTCTCTCCCTAACTATTGAGTGAATAAACATCACAACCAAAGGGCCAACAAATGCAATATTAGTGAACCCCAGCACTCAGTGCTCCGTTGCTCTCTTCAATCTGATAAGACATGCCATTAGTTAATGAGGGCTTCTCTTCTCCCATTCCCTTTCCAAATGTTTTCTCCACAAAATTCTTTACGAAATTATAATTCATTAAAAATTTAACTGCAATTATATTTTGTTTGTTTTTATAGCTATTGTTCTCCAGAATTTAACGTAAGAATCTCACAATTGTATGCAAACGTGAATCCCATCTCACTTTCCAAACAAACATTTAGATCAAAACTTTTCTAAATATAATTCTTATATCATATAAATTCTTGAATATAGTATAACTTACATATATTTCTCATTTTTTTAATACAAAGCTTTAATTCTTTAATTAACACACCATTTACTTATTATTATAACAAATTATTTCTCTGCTTATAAATCTTCTTTAATATATATTTTATATAAATAATAATTAAATATTATTTATTTGGCAAATGCTTTATTAGAGCGTCAGTTGTGGTGCCAATTATAAAAGTTATAAAAAATTGTTTTCCCATAATATTTTATTTTAAATACATTTTTTGATGCGAATGAAATCATGTCTGTCTAAAGGACTTCTACTGTACGCAAAGAAACAAAAAGTTTAAATAACAGTCTAATTAATTTGGTTTTTCAAAAAACTACTCAATGAAACGCTTTATCTCTCTTTCCTGTGGATAGTAAACAACACAAGTATTTGAGTATTTGTGTGAAACATAAGGATTCATGAATTGAGAGGTAATGAAAAAAGTGGTGTTAAGTCAAGAATTAAATTACGTAATGAATCTCTTAATGCTTTCTCTGTTTTGTTAAATGAAATGCAATTTATAAAATCCTTATCTCATTTCGATCAATGAATTACTGTTAAGATCTTTAAACAAAAGATAGTGAATACTGTATCAGGTTTTAAATTAATTTCTTATATTCGTTACATGTTATCATTGTTTTCCACTGAATAATGCCAATAAATTTGAATATAATATTATTTTTAAATATAAATATTTAGAGCAAATCTCTGGGTTTTAGCAATAAATCATTCATAATTCCTTATCCATAGCCTTGATATCCAATTTAATGATTGTGTCTTAAAATAAAACTCAATTTAAATATTTTCATTTATTTATTAGAAGTGATTATTTTATCAACAAATTGATACAAATATTTATTTATATTTTTACAAAACAAATGAATAAAGCAAAGTCCTTGATATTCCTATGCATTTACATTTGATTCATACAGTGTATTTGAGCCTAGATATGCATTGAATGACTGTCCATTTATATTGTACTACAGTAGCCCAGTTCCCTCATGTCTGTCCTCTCCAAACTAAATATATTAAACAAAATGACTACAAGAATGACTGAAAAGAGGACTTTTCTGAACTTTTTTGTGTAATCAGAGAGAAAGTAGATTTGAGTGATTGCTTAGGAATAGTTGGACTCACGTAAGGGTGCTTTTCATATAAATATATGATTTTTGTTTCCAAAAAACATTGAAATTATTTTGAAAAACAAAACTATTGTATCAGGCATGTATTGGTTCTCGTATTGAATAATCGCCTCCAGCTATGAGTGGACTTAAATGTATGAGAGGAATGGTATCGAAACTGAATGTTTTATATTAATAATTGAAAGTTTAAACTCGAGTACAACTGATATTATGTTTTGTAATATTTACAGAATAAGACATTCCTCTTCAGCACTGATGAGTGAAAATCATTTGTTTTATTTGACTTATTATTGAAATCCCTATAAATGAAAGTCCTATTCTTTCTCTACACATATCTAATCGTATGATATAATAATACTTTTGACTTATATCATAATTATTCAAAAATTTGGTTATCACGTGAAGTTTTAAATTAACTCTTAGATATGATTAGAAAGCTACTAGTACATGGATTTTGAGAACTGGATCAATCTTTGAACCTAACCATACAATGTGATCACTGTTTCCACTGGTGATAATGGTTCTGAAATTCAATACCAGAATTCAATCAAAGATTAGCCCCACAAGTGATTATTTCATTATAAACCAGAATTTATTTTAAAAATAAGATAAATTAATTATTTAAAATAACTATTAAATAAACATAAAATAATTAATTTATAGAAGAAATTATTAAAATGCAATTAAATATAAGAAACCAAAGGAACAGGAATTGTAAGACAAATCAGGAAAATATTTCGGTTTATTATTTATAGTATTTTTTACTTAAATTATCAAAACATTTCAGATTAATAGAAACAAAGACTTTTATAACAAAGATTATGGTTTCAGATATTGAAGCCAAACAATACTTATTTGCCAATGAGATTAAAATCACATTTACGACATAATAACTGCAGTGAGTGTCGATACATGGGATGAGGATTGAGGTTATCTTATGATAAATTTTTTGTTATTATATAAAGCATTGATTCAAATGTAATATAATAGTGGAGACAAAACTCGATTTATTTGGAGAGTAATATACTACTTGTGCCATAAGAATGACCGGATGTTAACGCATAGAAAGACACTCATATAAGTTAGTCAGGTCTGGGGTCTGGGCTTTAGATACTGGAGCTCTTGAGCCGATTGAGTCTCACATAAAAGAAGCACATATTCTATGCCTCAATAAACTGAACAATATGTGACTTATATGTGACGATATGAGTATATGATATGACAATACATAACTTAAATCTGCGGAAACTCTTCTCACAATACCAGTGCGATCAGTCGTAACAACATCTAAGACAGAGTAGGCCTGGGATGGGATGGAGACAAACGAATTGATAGCTAAAAGAATGTCTATTTCATTGAGTCCTTTGAGTTGCAATCACTCAAACTTAAAACACGATAATGTGATCAGATTGATGCCATTCCTCCCAGAGTTCACTCTTTTATTCACTTTCTATTTGTATTGATATCACAAATATTTTTATGTTCTGTTATATATAGAAAATATACTTACATTTTACAGACAAAAATAATAAAAACATTTATTTGTCTCAATTCTTTAATTGAGTTCATAGATTCAATAATAAAAACAATGTACAATATTGCAATTGCATTTATTACTACAATCTACAATGTACTGTACTATTAAAATTAAGCAAATTTATTTATAGCGTATAAAAACTGCAATAATTTTTTAATATTTGTATATTGTATGGAAACAATAAGTTAAAAATTAACAATAACTTTATTTTGAAATCTATAAAAAGATATTATTTTACATCAATCAATGCATTGATTATTCGATTCTTAGCTTTAATACAATTTTGGATAAATTTTTGTTAAAATGAATTAAAGTAAATATAAAATAATTTCATAATTAAACCTAAAATATGAAGGACTTAAAGGCACCGATCAGTCGAATGTATAATTCATTCATAAATATTATATTATTTATAATTTATATATAATTCTTATATTTCTTGTTTTCAATTGAAAGTCTATAACAATAATATATTGTGATAACATTTGCATCATAATTTTTGTACCAAATATTAACATCAAATGAGAATAATTATAATTATTATATAATTGAATATAATAAAATTAACACATATTTATCACAATTAAAAATCAGATAACAATAAAATGTTTCAACTAAATGAGTATATTCTCAATTCTCTTAATATTCATCTAATCGTCTACTTCTCAATAGTTTAAAATTATCTCAACAATTGTTTAATAATTAATAAGTTATGAATGACTAATATATTAGTATTTAATATACGAGATTCTATTGAATTAATATATCATTGCCTCATTCTCTACATATTTGCTTTCCATTCAATCTGTAGTGAATGCTAAAACATACAAATAATAAATATGTCATAAAATAAAATAATTGAAAAATTTGGAAATATTCTTATAATTCTTTGGGGAAAAAGTATTTATTTGGCGATCAGATCCTGAATTTTTTGAATTGATCCTGAGTTTGACAGCATTTGTTTGTTTGGGTAAAACTGAATGAATGTCCAAATGTTGTATTTTCTTTGATATTGCTCTCAATGGAAACAATGACTTCGAAGGACACTAGAAATGAATGAATTATCAGTTTATTATTCATCCAATTATTAGTTCTAAAGTCTGTTTCAGGAAATGAAAAAATGGCATAAATTATGTAATCGAATACTACTTTCAGTACATCTTATCACAAAATCCTTGTCCTTAACCGTCAAAATGGGTTGATTTGGTGTTCACTAACGATAACTTTGTTACTAACGAGTGAATGCTATTACTTATTATATGATAATAAGATATTTAAATATTGTATTTCATTGAATGCGATAATTGTAATATTACTTCTATAGAGATATAAAGCATAGGAATATGTGAATATTAAATGAATTTTAGATAATATACTTGTATTTCATTCTTATCTAAGATATACTGCACTTAGAATACAGTTAAAAGTATTACTTTTACTTTTATGAGAGCTATAATACAACTTTTACTTTCGTTAAAAGTATTCTGATATTGGATTTTATTTATTTTCAAATTAATGCTACTTCAAATAAATCTAAATATATTTTAATATAAATAAATATTTTAGATATTTAAATCTTTTTTGGTAAAAAAATTTACTTAACAACAAACCAGAACATTCAAGTATATTCAAAGTATAATTACCAATATTTCTAAAAATCATTGAATTTAATGACAGTATTTGCAATTGGGATGACATCTAACGCCTTTCACATTACATCGACATCCACCTGATGTGTCCCCCCGACCCTAATCGCACACAATAGACCGTAATTGCATTGAATTAATATTTTACAATTATAATATACTGTACAAAAATGATATAATTTGCTAACCTTTGGCCCCCACCGGAACCCTTTGGTGACCCAACAAATCTCGGTTTCACACATTGAGCACTTGACCCTTCAATTCAATACAATCCAAATGATATATTAATCTTACAGTTCTACCAAGTTAATTTTATAATTTTATTCTAACTATAAGTTACAGTAATACTGTATATAATAAATAAATGAGAGTACAAACCAATCACAGCCCCATTTCTTGAGTAGCACTACTTGACACTGAGGACAACGTAAGGCTTCATCTCTGAGAAGCATATTCTGCATTCATATTACATTAAAACAATTATTATTTATTTATTAATCAGTTATTCAATAGCTATAGCTATTGCAATATTAATGAATATTAATGCAAATATGGTTATTATTAAAATATTTAATACATCAATCAATTCCTTAGTCTTCATGGCGTCTTCGTTTTGTGCGGCATTGAAGTCGAGCTGATCCTGATATTGCTTGCAATTCATGGTCTCATGTATGGCCTGACAGTTAATGCAGTTCTCGTGCCCACAAACGGGACACCGAAACACATTGACCTTATCGTCAAACTCACACCATCCGCAACAGTCGACTATATTTTTAAAATAAAATCAAATTTAACTTTTTCAATTACCAAACGTCACAATAGTTATACCAGTCTTGCAGTGGAAGGACTTCTCGATTTTGCTTTCGGCCGTCGAAATGCTTTTCTGGAGATACCTCTCGTATACATCTAAGGGAACCACTTCTTTCACTTCCCTGTCCTGCAATCGACTGTCACACGAGTAGTCATTGTTTCTGAAGGGACACTTCACCTCCACTTCTGTGTTGTATTGAATAGCATTTAATAGACAAAACCTATAAGCCATAAAATAATAATTAATGACTTTTGTTAGTAAATGTATGTAATGTTTGTCTAATTACCTGCAAAATGAGTGCAAACAGTCTCTCAAAACAATTCCTTCTCCGACACCGATATCCACAAAACAAACGGGACATTCAAAGGGCTCAGTATTGGTGACACACTTAACATCGTCCAACTGGACCAACTCCAAGTATGTCTGCGGCTTCTCGGTGTCCACTTCTTCGGGAATCACATTAGTATCTGAATGTAAATCGAATGCATGTATAGTATCACTGGTCTCTGGTATTAAGAGCGGTTCCAATGGTTGTAAATTGTTGTCTAAAATAGGCGCCGGAATTTAATGAAATCAATAGTATTAGCAGTGATTGAGAATACAATACATTAATAGGTGGGCCATGACGTGCATACAACTAATTTGAAGCACTGCCAGTGCTCCAGTTGTAACCACCCGTGCGCTCATCTCTGTAAGACCACCAAACCTAAGGGTAGGCACCGGTGGAAAGACCCGGGTTTGGCCCATATGTGCCACTTCTCGAGTAAACCGCACAATAAGATGTGTTGCGGCGGTGAGGACCTGCCCTGTGCTACCAGACCATTGACAGCCCCGGGAACGAGTTGGATGCTCCCCGACAATGTTGAGCCATCATTCAAAACAGTGCCAACGGATACGATGCCTCGCAGGAAATCAGTGACAATACACGACGACCGCAATGCCGTCTCTGCGCCCACAAGTGTTGAACGAAAACCCAATTCTTCGCCTCCGAATACAAATCTTAAGGAACGCCGAGGAAGTGATCTCTCGATATCGAGTTTGCCATCGAGTGGCACCCCTCAGGTGTATATCGCGCGGGGAGTACTTACCGATGAGTCCGACTTTGATAGCGATACGGATCGCAGTTATTCGCCAGTGTTTGGCCACTCAGGGATACCGGGGTTGCGATCACTCGTCGCCTGTTTTTCTAACAGTTCTTCACTTCGAGAAAAGAAAAGAGTGAAAGAAAGACGAAAACGAAAACTAAGAAAACATAAAAAGCGTTCAAAAACTTTATCATCACATGAGAGACGCCATCGAAGAGGCCTCTCTTCTGATACGAGCTATGACTGCGAGACCACTCATAACAGTCAGAACCAGACATCAAGTCTTATGTCTAATATCTCGTCGCCAAAAGTGCGCACAAATACCAGTCCTGTTGACCACAAACCGACTTCAATGTCACCGAACCGTTCGCCACATTCGCCAAAAGCAGACGAAAAGCCGCAGAAAGAGAAACAGAGTTCCGGTGCTATGATTGAAGAAGAGCTGAAGAAATCATTTGAAACGCAAAGACATCGCGTGGACGACGACGTGATCTCCGAGGGAAATGAAGGTCAGGACGGCTGCACAAGTAGTAGTAAAAGTAGCGGTCATTTAATTACAACTAAAGCTGATATTGAATCGACTCCTCAAACACATAGATCCCTGTCTTCGCACTCAAACCTCAGCGATAGTCAGTCGCCGCGCAGACGCAAGAAAACACCGGCACCGCCACCGCCGCCGACATCCAGCACAAGCCCGACGTCACTAAACCTATCCGTCTCCTCCACATCCCTCCCCCAAACCCCCACCCATTCGACCGCCACTTCAACATCGGTCTCAAAAAGACGGCAGTCATACAAGAAGAACCCGGCGCCCACTCCACCCAATCTCACCCGATCTCTGTCCGAACAAAAGCAGCTGAATATGAAGAACTTGATTAATGCCGTTCCCTCCTTCAGAAGCGAAGTCGACTTACAGGGCGTCTCCAGAAAGTCGTCTCCTTTTGGCGATAGTATAGAAAGGGATGAAATCTCTTTGAACTCTATGGATACTAAAGACGAGATATCTCTCGATACCACTGATAGTAACCACAAAAGGATCAGCAAAATTGATGCCTCGACTCAAGTAACGCTCGAAAGTGATTATTACGAAGAAATCAATTTCATGTCTAATGTGAATGTCTGCGAGAAAACAAATTGTTGCGAAAGACCTGATTTGCCTAAAAAGACATTTGACTCCATGTCGACATTCGGTTGTGAAGTTCATACGAGTAACAAACCATTGACTAATAATTACAAAACTCAATTATTAAATAAAAGCCATTCCTTGCCTTTAAATAAGAAACGAAATACTAATCAAAAAGTGATCGATTCTTGTGATCAAACATTTTCGAGTGATTTGAACGCATTGTTGAGTCCACAACACAAACAGAACTTCATTCTCAAAGCAAAGGCTGAATCTCTGATAAGGGGTCTGTCGGACGGGTCGGTCAGCAGCACCGCCACAGTCATTGAGTTCATCAATACATTCACTGATTTGGAGACACAAATGAATTCTACTGATGGCCAACACCTTAAGAACTCTTCCGTTAAAACCAGTGATTCGTTAATTGATATCTCATTAGACGATACAAGTGATGACGGAATCACTGTCAAGTCGATGCCATCCAGATGGCGATATTCTTCCAGTTCTGTGGATAGTTTCAGTGATAGTCTTAATAGCTCTAAGTTTAACGAATCATTTTCATCACCAAACGCTACAATCCAAACGAAAAGCAATAAAACAAACTCCTGTTCCCGAACGACCGGTGCTACCAATGATCTATACAGTAGTCCTTCGGAACAGTCGCTATCGTCGATGTCTTCTTCATCCACATTGTCTTACGCGCCAACAATCGGGTCTTCGAGTTCCACTCCTACACCCATTACGCCAAAGCCATACAAAGAGTCTGGCATTCCTCCCAAACATTCAACACATACCCATCCCCTCCCAAAACCTCGATCTAAAAATAGAGCCCCAAATACAGGAAGTTTAGTGAAAGACAAACCGTTCATCTCTACAGATATCTTCGCAAATTCAGGTATTCTTTTCATTTGATTCCTATTTACAAGAATTCAAAAGTGTAAAGTGTAAGAATAGTAATTATACTTACGTAGGTTTCCCAGCAACCAAAACTTAGTTTACTTTTCTTTATTAAATTACCGTCTGCTGTGAGCTCAGCGTGTCTAATACCTTGTCGACCTTCACCGGTATGCTTACGGCCAACATAAACGGGCCGCTGTATTGGCCAAGGAGTTGGCTATTAGGAAAGTAGCCTGCACTCTTAATAGGTCTGGTATTCCCAACAACAACACAAATTCTCCCATTATGTAAGTTGTTTTACATAATTTATATACATAATACCTTATATTAATAATTAATTATACGGTATCTGGTTAATTTCTAACTATTATACTGTATTGTTTAGCGCCTATCTATACATTGAGGATAGACATACTCACAAGGGACCCATTCCTTTCCAAGTGTATCCATCAATGTCTGTAAATATGCTTAAACTAAAAGTAAGTAATATTCTGTATCTACTGTATTTGTATTGCATAGGAATATAACTTTACTATAATGATACATTCTGATCGTGTACTGTTTTAACAATATTAATTCAGAATTATTATATTTTCTCAAATATTGCAAACAATAGGTAGAGAAAGAATTCAGTATTCCCTCTGATATGCAAAAATGGATTTTAGGGAAAACTTTGGCCACAAATCTAAGCGCATCGTTAGCTACATACGGCATAACGTGTTCTGGTTGTCCCATATTTTTATATTTATTACCCGAAGAGCCCAAACATGCGATAATTGCGGACAATCCGCAAAACAATATAATGCCTCAAAATGAGGAATGGTTTCCAAATGAGATTCCGGCGCCTATTTTAGACAACAATTTACAACCATTGGAACCGCTCTTAATACCAGAGACCAGTGATACTATACATGCATTCGATTTACATTCAGATACTAATGTGATTCCCGAAGAAGTGGACATTGTCCACTTCTTCGGGAATCACATTAGTATCTGAATGTAAATCGAATGCATGTATAGTATCACTGGTCTCTGGTATTAAGAGCGGTTCCAATGGTTGTAAATTGTTGTCTAAAATAGGCGCCGGAATATCATTTGGAAACCATTCCTCATTTTGAGGCATTATATTGTTTTGCGGATTGTCCGCAATTATCGCATGTTTGGGCTCTTCGGGTAATAAATATAAAAATATGGGACAACCAGAACACGTTATGCCATATGTAGCTAACGATGCGCTTAGATTTGTGGCCAAAGTTTTCCCTAAAATCCATTTTTGCATATCAGAGGGAATACTGAATTCTTTCTCCACCTATTGTTTGCAATATTTGAGAAAATATAATAATTCTGAATTAATTTTGTTAAAACAGTACACGATCAGAATGTATCATTATAGTAAAGTTATATTCCTATGCACTACAAATACAGTTGATACAGAAAATTACTTACTTTTAGTTTAAGCATATTTACAGACATTGATGGATACACTTGGAAAGGAATGGGTCCCTTGTGAGTATGTCTATCCTCAATGTATAGATAGGCGCTAAATAATACAGTATAATAGTTAGAAATTAACCAGATACCGTATAATTAATTATTAATATAAGGTATTATGTATATAAATTATGTAAAACAACTTACATAATAGGAGAATTTGTGTTGTTGTTGGGAATACCAGACCTATTAAGAGTGCAGGCTACTTTTCTAATAGCCAACTCCTTGGCCAATACAGCGGCCCGTTTGTGTTGGCCGTAAGCGATGGCCACTTCCAGCTGTTCCATAATCTGTGCGACTCGAGTGTCGTCTGCCATTAAATTATTTCTTTTCATTTGATTCAAAACCAACGACCCTTTGGATGCATTCATATTAATGATAAGAATGTGAA